ATCGTATCGTTGGCAACGTATCGAGATGCACATGGCATCGGCCTCAGTGATGGTGATGCACATCCCTACTCCAGAGGGAGTTTCTCTCCCCCCCCTGCCTGAAACGCCTACATTGGACTCCTTTGTTTACTTCCTGAACATAGTGGCATCACTTTGTAATACTCACGCTACTATTGGCTAGCGCTCCAACACACTGTACGTGATAGGCTAAGGGGCGGGACATCTGTAAGCGGTTGACCAATCTTTAAAGTATCAGCAGGAGAGGATCTTTAAAGTAGAGACACTACATACTGATATACACCTGAATCAGCAGGAGAGGACTCTTTAAAGTAGAGACACTACATACTGATATACACCTGAACATCAGCAGGAGAGGACTCTTTAAAGTAGAGACACTACATACTGATATACACCTGAACATCAGCAGGAGAGGACTCTTTAAAGTAGAGACACTACATACTGATATACACCTGAACATCAGCAAGAGAGGACTCTTTAAAGTAGAGACACTACATACTGATATACACCTGAACATCAGCAAGAGAGGACTCTTTAAAGTAGAGGCACTACATACTGATATACACCTGAACATCAGCAGGAGAGGACTCTTTAAAGTAGAGACACTACATACTGATATACACCTGAACATCAGCAGAAGAGGACTCTTTAAAGTAGAGACACTACATACTGATATGAACCTAAAAAAAGGGCTTGATTAAGATATTATTTTTGAAATAAATATTCCAAACCCTGTTGTGGTTGATTGGTCGGTGCAGCAGGAGCTCGGCCAGAGGAGCTGGCAGTCAGCTGTCTGATGGACCCCGGACACTGACCCCTGGGGTACCGGGAGCAGGGGCCCCTCGCTAAATCAAAGATAAGAATACAAATTGGCATAAGATAACAACATCAATCATTGCAATACATGATTCAGAACTGACTTACACATCCACAGGTTTGGTTATAAAAAAACTTGTGTGTGTTGTGTCTGAATTTACTTTTAGGTGATCTATTGACTGTTGACTGTTGATCTGTTGACCCCATTTCCAGTCTTTAGGCTAAGCTAAGCGGCCTAGATTTATATTTTCTTCATGGTACTGAGCTTCTCATCCAACTCCCTGCAAAAAGATAATATGTGTATTTTCCTAAAGACCATTCCCCTGAATTCTTGAAATCAAAATGGATTTGTTTACTAAGAGTATGGCTTTGTATTTGGCAATGCACTACCCAACTTAGCTAGTATGTTGTTTTGGTGATGCAAATTGTCTGAGAAAGTTGATTCAACATTTGAAAAAACAACCCCTCCAGTCTTCTTCATGGGCAGTTTCTGCATCCAGAGTCATTCGCAAAAGCTTTGTGTATTTTCTGTATTTAATGAATGCTTTTTTGGACACAGTTAAGGTTTTTGTTCCTTCTTTTTGAATGAATAAGAATTAGAACAACCTCACCTGAGTACCATTCCTCACTCTCACTGTTGGAGTCTGCCCACCCCCTACCTGGTCTCCGATTTCCTGAAGAGGAGAAAACCAATGAAGAAGGGAAACATATCAGTTTTATGGTGAGAAAAAGGAAGAGTCAAGTCTGCAACATATTTCACGTCTAAACTTCAATATATTAAAAATATGTGACTTTTTGTCTTGCATCTCAGTACCTGCATTTATGCGCACACAAATATTCACTGCATTTATGAGTCCCCTCATGTTTCCTTGTGCCTCTGCTGAGCCATTCATAAATACATATTCCAAAGATTCTATAGATTAATTCTCTCAATTGAGGTTTATTTTGTTCATCTCACAGCTTTCTGTGGATTGATAGTAAACATGAGCTAGCATGGCCCAGATGGGGATTTGTTTGGTTACCTAATTCAGTACACAGTATTAGATCTGGTTAGTGACACTGTGAAATCTGTTCTGCTGGCAGTGAGGTGTTGTTGATACTGACCTGTCGCAGCAGCTCTCAGAGGCTGTGCCGTCCTGGAGAGAGAGCCTGAGACACCGACATCTGAGAGAGGACGGACGGATAAAAGCACCCAGATCAGGATGCTTGTCCATTTACCATCCAATCTTCATAAAGCTTCAATATGAGTTGAAGGTCACTATCCAAAATCTACTTTCTCATGTCTCTTCTACATACATATGTGTCCCCTCTGTGTTAAGAGACTCAGAACGTTTCAGGAACAAAGACCCCCTCTCTTTTTGTCCTGATCCATCTTTATAAAACCTGTCTGAAAATGAGCTGATCAGATGTTGGTCACTTTGTGATGTCACAATGTTTTTTTGGGTTTGCAACGATTAGCCAATCACCAACCAAGGTAACCCCCCCCCCACACACACAAACACACCTTACCACCTGAATCTCCTAGAGCACCATTATGTTTTTTAAACCAATCACCTCTCAGAGGGGCGTGGCCAGCAGCAGCACATTAGCATTTAAAGTTACAGACACATAATCAGCACTTTTGGAACAGGGCTGGATTATGGGATGCTGCAGTGATCTGTTTAGTGTTTCAGCCAATCAGAGACAGGTTCTGTATATATCTGAGACCTGTAATACATTATTGGAAAATACTATAATAGGGGACCTTTACATTGTGCAAGTGTTGCTACAGTAAGTGGCAGAAGGCACAGTGTGTACTGGTTTAGCTGTAGCTGTTGGTTATTACCGCAGTGTAGCTGGTAGTCATGACAACAGGTGCTATACTGGCTGCACTGTGCATCACACTCACACACCCGGCCGCGGCTGAACGTCTCCCCACAGCGACCCTGACAGGACTGATCTGAGGACAGCAGAGAGAACAGCAGACATCATCAACAACTGTCTGAGATGAGGCTGCGTCAGGCACGTTTCATACAAAGCCGACAGGTATAAGGCCCTAAAGATGCTCCAGAATATGGTTCATTTTGGTCTCCACCAACTACAAGGGACATATAGAAGGAGTCTAGTTCTGTGATGTGACATAACAGTAAAGTTTCTTTGTCAAATGAAGCAGCCTGATTAGATACAGATTAGCAGAAAACATTGAAACTGAAGCACATCAAATGTTCTGTTAAATTAAAACAACAGTGGCTGAAAGGTAATAGAAAATAAACAGTTAAACAGTTATTATAAATCAAAACAGCAAAGGATATAGGTTTAAAAGCTCTATAGAAAATAAAAACAGCAAGCTAAAGGGGCTCCAAACACCCAAACATTTGATGAATGTATGATATTAGAGTCAGTGTGCTGCACTAAAGCAAGATTAACAGTCAGGATCATGGACACTCCTTCCCTGCACGTCTCACACCCTGTTGGGTCTGTTCTACTCACATATTATATCTTTGCTTTACATTTTACCACATAATAAATCGCACAGATGAATTACTTATATCTACTGTTGAATATGTTTATCTGTAGAGTGTTGTACCCATGTTGTTAGAAAAGTGGTGGGGACTCTTTTCAGGTTTAAAAAAACAACTGCATTTAGCGTCCATATGTACTGTATTACATACATATGCTTATAGTAGTATTTTTAACAACTATTGCAGTAACTATGCTGCTGCTAAGCGGGAGCAACCATTGCTTCACTATTCTCTATTCAATTATCACTAATATTAAACGTGTCTCAGGTCCAAACTGCACCACTTGACCACCAGAAAGACCCCCAGAAAGTGAGAACACTCCTCCAGATAGTGCATGTTCTCTTGTGCAGATAAACCTCTCAAAGTGTACAATTCTTTGTGCACGCTATTTTCAGAACATATTTAACAAATGATCCTAATGCTGGTGGGGACAAAGTTGGCCATCTCCAAAAGTGGTGGGCATGTCTCCAACGTCCCCAGTATAAATGAGGCCTATGGTTACCTGTGGTGCAGGCAGCCTGGAAGTCCTGGCAGCACTCGTTGTGTCTGAGGCAGCTGAAGTCACAGGTACACTGCTGGCCTCTGGTGAACACCTCCCCACAGCGGCCCACACAGCTGCCTGCAGACAGGGTGTGTGTGTGTGTGTGTGTGTGTGTGTGTGTGTGTGTGTGTGTGTGTGTGTGTGTGTGTGTGTGTGT